GAAAATATTTTATAGAAAAATTACTTTTTTTATTTAAATATTAAATATTATTAACTAATACATATAATATACATTTTGTAAATAATATAAATATATAGGTATACATTAATATACTTAAGATAAAAATACCAAAAAATGTACATATTTTATTTTTCAATATTTAATACTAAAAAATACCTTTTTATCAAATATACTATGTTTTATTTTATTTTTGTATGTAAATAATAATTATTATATGAATTAATTGATTAATATCCCTTTTTGATTAAAAATTAGGGTTTTGCCCTAAATTTGAAAATACTCAAAAAAAAAATAATACCCTTTTATTTCTCTTTTTTATTTACATAAATAATATTCTTTTTTTCATACACATAAAAATTCTTTTTTGCATTTTTGCATATTTATTTCAACTTCCATTTAATTATACAATTATTTGTCTTGTAAATATTCAAAAAGAAAATGATGTAATAGTTAGGTTTAAATTCTTGTCTAAATATACCTCATTTGAAATATTGTACCCCCCTCCCCATATTATTGTGTTGTAATAGCGTAGGAATTTAAATTTCGCACTTTAAATGCTTTCTAAACATACTATGCTAGAATTAGGGTTTGTGCGCGAATAAAACGAACAAAATAGTTGGACCTAATCTCAAGATAAATAAGCATGAAAATGGACAACACATTTCACACTTGCACCCCTAGGGTATTCCACTTTGTTGCCTTCAAATAATTGGGCCATATTGTATGTTGAATTTCCTTGGGTAAAACAAACAATCAAATGATCATAGTCCCTCAAAATATTGCCTAAATGAATGATCAAGTCCCTTTTAAAGAAAAATTGTCCAAAGACATTTAACACTATTGCAATTATGGTCTAAACGATGACCCGCGCCCGTCCCTTTCACCTCTTAAGACAAGATTGTCCACCAAATGCAATGGTGGAACAAAATTGTCAAGAGGTTTAAAACATAACAAAAATCTTTGAGAAAACTTTAGGGTAGATAACTCTTAAGTACTTGCCAATTTGCAAAGAAAACACTTGCCTGTTTTCAAAACCCACTTCACAAACACTTTCAAAACAAGCTTGCAAAAAACCTTAAAACATCTTTTCAAAAGACAAAACCCCTTTTGTAAAACATTCGAGTAAAGAATTGTTACAAGAGTAGCCTATACAAGGCATCTTTTCAAAAACATTTTCAAAACCACACATCAAGCACCATTTCAAACAATTGAAAACCAAGGCAAGTTGATCTAAGCAAGTACCTAAGAGCCCATGGATAACCATGGATAGAAAGGGTGCTAATACCTTCCCTTTCTATAATCTACTCCCCGAACCCAAGAAAAATCTCAAAGGTTTTTGCTGTGCTTTTTAAACCTTTCCTTAGGATAAAATAAAAAGTCGGTGGCGACTCTTGCTCAACCGAAACATTTGCGAAAACAAACGCAAAACCCTAGTCAGTTCTCCCACCGTATCACAGAGACCTAAGAAAAACAGGGGCATCCCGCTGACTGTAATCTCAAAAACAAGAACAGTCAGGCAAAATCAGGGATAATAAATCAAAAAGAGGTCACTACAAATCCTCAACAACATGGAAAACATGGCAAAAATGACTTCCTTCCAACAAACTTAACTGGTCTGAACCATCACCAAAATACCATTCCATACTCAATTGGAGTTCAAACGCACAAGTAACTGAGTTTAGGACTGAAGGACATCACGAAAAATGGGCGGGTGCAAATACACTTTGAGCCTTATCCTTTATTTCTTAAACCGTGAACCTATACCACTATATAACCTTTCAAAGTCCTAATTGAAGCATGGGTTAGTTCGAAAGCATACTGTTACAAAAGATATCCTGACTCCTATGAGGCTTACTCTAAATCCTGATTTGAATTCACATACTTGCAAAATTCTTTTATCTTCTAAAATGCATTTTCAAAACTTCAAGACAAGCATAAACTTTTTATTATTTGAATACCATTGTTTGCGTATAGCTATTTGTTTGACAACAGAGAAATTCACACAACGAATATCCAGCGAACAAAAACTCTCTCAGTGAATAAAATCACTTCAAATGGGATGACACTTCCAACGACAAATCTCCTATAAACAGGGGGCACGGCGTGATCACTGTCTAACACATCTAGGGCATTCAAGTCCAGATTCCAAGAAATCTCTCAAGAAGTGCTGAAAAACCAGGGGCAGATTTGCATCCGAGTCACTTGGGGCATTGAATATGAACTCCAACAAAGGGTTGTATACAGTCAAGAAAATGTTTCTTATCAATACTACAAATACTTACTACTAGGGGCAGCGACAAGTCTCCCACAAAGTCCTTTTCATAGGGTGATCCCCAGCCAGAGTTTCAATCTCTTAAAACTTCTCCCCAACTGAGTTGATCTCAAGAATCCTCGAGGATTTCTGCCGAAAAAGAAAACACCTCTCCAGCAGATTGGCGACAGGGTTTATTTCCCCAACAAATGGTAAGATTCCCCGACTGGAATTTTCCTCTCAGACTATCACAAATCAGGGACCACAACTCCTCTTCCCCAATAGACTTTCCTACAATCCCCAATAGATCCCCAATAGATCAACGGACAATGAAGACTCCTGAACTCCTTTCCCCAAGCAAGAATCAACACTCTCCACAGATTTTTATTCTCAAGCAAAATTAACACTCCCCAATGGAGTTCTCCTCAAACAACAAAACAGGATTCCCCAGCGGAAACATTCTAAACAAGGTTTGAAGATGTGCATGCACTTCACCCCAACAGCGGTCTGGGATTCAGTTTCCCAAAGCTCCCCAACATTTGTCAAAGATTTATTTTCCAAGACAAAATTACATTCCGACAACATTGCATGCATCATATTTACATACATGATAAATGCATACATCATAATCTCATTTATTTTGAGAAACATCGTTACGTCATGCATTTCATACATCATGACATTGCATACAACTGACTCTTTACCTTTTCAGGAAAGATCAAACAGCAGATAACTATCGTCAACAATCTCCAACAATTCCAGATTAATACCTGTAACAAGACAGGATAACTATCCGTGGACGATTGATTGAAGATCAATACCTTAAACAAACCAATGCAACTATCTACACGACCAGTTGAAGCAACCATACCTAAGTTCCTTCTCATTTCCAGATACAGTTTTACCCAGACTCATCATGAAGCAACCTTACCCAGGTTCCTTCTCATTTCCAGATGTAGTTTTACTCAGACTCATCATGAAGCAACCCTACCCAGGTTCCTTCTCATTTCCAGATGCAGTTCTACCCGGTCTCATCATGAAGCAACCCTACCCAACCAACTCTTGGGGGTATGTTATATCAGCGTAACCCTATCTAGCCAACTCTTAGGAGTATGCTATATCAGTGTAATCCTATTTAGCTAACCATTAGACAAATTTTAGGGTCTTCCATTATTTAATAAATCTCCGATTCGAATGAACAAGATCGCGTTCTCGTGCCATTCAATCGAAGAGTTATTAAATAGGGGCAGTTGTCATACCCCAAATTTGCCCGCCTTAATGCTACCGTCAAATTTATTTTCGAATTTGGGTTTTACAGATATAAAATTCCTTTGATTTAATCATATTAACATTCTGAGGTTTTTTTTTTGTAATAAAAATTTGCTTTCAAGTCTGTTTGAGAATATAAAAATCATTTGTAAAAATAACGAATAATTGTTTGTTGTCATATACTTGCAATGGGATTTTTACTTTCGAATAAGTAACATAGCACAGTTGGTAAGGAAGAAAGACTAGAAAGCAGAAGGCCATGGGTTTGAATCTCACTTGGTGCACTTTGAATATTTTTGTTGTTTATTATTACTAAACTTTATTTTCATTTTCTAAAAAATCATATTTTTTATTATTAAATTATTATTTTCGTATTTATTTATTTATTATATTTTAAAAAATTATTTTTTATTAAAATATTTATTTTATTTAAAAAATAGTCCAAATACCTTATAAATAAATAAAAACTAATTTGGGCTTTGGATAGTGGATAGTTTCCTTTTTTGTTTTGTTTTTTGGGTTTAACCTAATTCCCACTCTATAAATAGAACTCTTCATTGTCCTTATTTTTCATCCACAATTTTACAATTGCATACACACATATAATCATCCAGAAATATCGATAATTTCTCACAAATCCATAAATCAATTCATCCAGAAATATTCACAACAACTCCAAAATTGCTTTTTATTTTTGGCCAATGATTTCATATGAACGACATACACAATTCCAACCTACTTATTGCACCGTTTTGTTTTCTTTATTGTTTCAATTTTCACATAAAACTTATAGTAATAGTCTCATCATCAAATTCAATTTTCATAACTTCCCTTTTGTTTAGTTTTTATTACAGTAACTATAAACCTTCTTTCAATCATTACTGTTATATATAATTTTTTATTATATCTTTTAAACTGCAAATTCTAAATTACGACATGTTCATTGGGATCATCTATCATAATCAAAACCTGTAAATCACCATACTTTTAAGCCACAAATTTCTTGCCTATGAGTTTTTGCAGGAGAAGAGAAAATCTGTGATACAAAAGTAGAAAAAGAAATAAGCGAAACTTCGGCGCTACCGCTAAATATGTGACTCGTGTGTTTTTTCTTCTTCACAATTTTTGTTGTTCTTTTAAGTCTTGTTTGCAGATTTTTTAAAAAGAAGAAGCACAAGATAAGTTGCTATCATCGACTGAACATCTCAGCGAAACAGATCCGCGATCACCCTCAAAATTCCTTCCGCGTGTTTCGCTCTGGAAAAACAAACATCATACGAGTTGTTGATCCGAACTCTAAAACATGTATCAAATTACAAACTCACGATGCATCACAACACAAACAAACTTTGTTTTTTGTAGAAAAAAGAAGGAGAGTAGAAGAATTGGTGCAAAGAATCAATGGAGATTGAATAGGAAAAGAAGAACACCGAAATCAACCCAACGAACGTCTTCAAGGATGAACAACCACTGCGAGAATAATCGTGCATCCAAGCCATCACCGTTCGCCTACGACACACAACCTTGCCATCATCGGAAAATCGCGGCCAGCTCCGCCCTCCGGCGATCCGCAATTCCGTCGCTCACGAAACCGAGATCGCCTTCAACCTCCTCACGGATCTGCATCTCCGCCGGACTGCTCACCAGCCCACGGAGTCGCCGCAATCTGCATATAGAACCCACCATGAAAACCACCATGGACGTCGTGTTGTGCTCTGCCCCTTCTGGTTCCGCTGACCTCCATCCTAAGATAAGAGTTTATTTCTTTTTCTTCTGCCATTTTTTTCTTCTTGATATGATGTTATGGTGGTTGATGTTCCAAAGAGAAGAAGAGGTTTTGTTATCTATGAAAAATGGGGTTGTTTTTTCTATTCACAATAATATAGCGTGAGAGAGGCATTTGTTTCTTTTTATTTATTCTAAACTCTATCGCCACGTGTTGTTGTTTCATTGGGTATGAGAATTGGAATTTTGGAGTTGTAGCAACATGAAGAGTCCGATTAAATGGACGTATTCTTTTTAGTTTATTAAATGTTAAATTATTTAATTAAAATTTAGAAATTAGGATTTATTTTGAGTTGAGCCTTTTGGGCCAATGTTTATAATCTTTTACTTGTCTATACTTTTGCTAAATCTTACACCCACCTTATCAATTAGCATCCCCCAACTCAATACACACATCTAGCCCAATTATCTTAGTTTATTAGTTTTGGGTTAATAAATTTTGGTTAATTAAATTAGTTTTAATTATTTTAATTAATTTGGATTAATTATTTTAGTTCTCTAATTATTATAAATATTTAAAGTAATTACTCATACAACTACTAAACCTTTTTAAATGAACTCGGGTATACTAATCAGGCTTCTTTTCATATAATTAATTCAACATTTTCGTGAATAATAGGATGTCCTCCTTCGAATAATTAAATCGGTCGACACATCATCTACTTGTTTATCATTTACAATTAAACAATTGAAATCCACGTAACTCTCTAAATTCATGACGAGCAACACATGGTCAATATCTAGCCACGTGATGAGAACACGTGATGAGGAAGACTACATCAGGCTTCCCCTACGTCCTTCATGACAAGCAACACGTGGTCAATATCTGGCCACGTGATGAGAACATGTGAGGAGGAGACTATATCAGACTCCCCCGCTACATGTCTTAATCAAATCAAACACCAAAACAGCTAACCAACGATCAAACATTTTTCAACTAACATAACAAAAACTATAAGATCATTTTTCAAAGAAAGATTAAATAACATCGTCTTCAAATCAAACTACGAATTGCGTCTACAATCACTCAACTCACAACCCAGGCAAGATTCAAGGTTATTCAAAAGCAATTCTATGAAATCTCATAAAAAACACCAACTCATACGAACTAAGAATTGAGACTCTGGTTCCTCATAAGAGGATACGTAGGCATACGATCAAAAATCTTAGCGAGTTCCCCTATTAAAAAAGTTAAGACACTTTTCCCCCCTAATAAAACTTAAAACCTTGTTTTCCCCAACTTAAACCTAAAACCTAATATCCTTGTGAACAAAGTAGATGAAAGGTGCCTAACACCTTCCTTTCGTCTAAAGAAGTCTAAAACCTAGAACCGCTGCCTGCGAATTAGGGTTTTCTGTAAGATTTCATTCCCTAGGATAAAAACTAATAGTGGCGGCTCTGATTTAAAACTCAGTTGATACACCCCTGTTGTACCCCAAAATTTGCCCTTCCGTTTCACCAACATTTTCTCATCACAAGACTCTTGGAACTAAAGATCAAGCTAGGGTTTGCTCTGCTCAAGACACTTCCTTGCACTGTTGACCTAAATTAGGGTTTGAGTTTTCACAGGGATATTTTGACCTACAATGCCCAAAGTGACTTTCATACTTCATGTTGGACTCACAAGTTCATCCATACCAAGTTTCAAGCTTTGATTCAAATTTTTGCCCAGTCAATTGGACAATTGACCTAGAAATCAACTATATTGGGGGAAAAGTCAACTGTGGCCAATTGACAGTCAAACCTCATGAAATTTGACCCACATCAATATAATGAACTCATATAGGTCATTTGATCAAGTTTGGATCACAATTCCACAAGAAATTTGATCAAATCACCAAAAGGGCAAAATGGTCATTTTAGGGTTTTGACTGCACAAAGGCAATTTTTGACTGTTTGACCTAGCCAATGGCAAACCAAGCTCACATATGGACTCAAGGACTCATTGACATTGCCTTGAACCATTCAACAAGTTCAAAAGATTTCAAGTGCATAGGATTGACAGATGAATTTCTCAGTCAACTGATCAAAATTTGTCTGTACACTAAAAAGTCAAACTTTGACTTTTTGGTCAAAATCAAGTGCCAAGAGTTATTTTTCATCAAGACATGTCAAATTATGAAACTTGTTCATCAAGAAACCCAAAAATGCAAATTAGGGTTTAAAATGAAAAAATTTCATAACTTAGAAATTTTCTAAGTTATGAAATTTTCTTATTTTTTCCTAACTTTGTTCCATTTTTTCACCAAGATGCAAATGGATTCAAAGAAAAATTGCAACATGAAAGTTTTAGTACATCACAAAGTCTACAACTTTTATTCACAAAGTTTTCTCAAAAGAAGCTTGTATCGCAAGTTATGATTTTTGGAACAAGGGTACCTAAAACTTTTAACTTAGAGAAAATTTACCCTAATCTAGGCAGGATTTTGATCCATCTTCTTGGCACTTTTTCACATAGTTACACTTTGAATTTCAAGTTGCATTACAAAGATGGATTGTATTACATGTTGCAAGCTTTCCAAATTGTCCAAGAACTCCTCAAACACCCTTGTGGTTAGAGAGAATCGAATTCTCAAAGTTGGCAAAAACTCACTTTTGTCCATGGCCAATGTATGTTCATGCAAACTTGCATTTTCAAATCAGTACGTTTGGTGCTAGCTTGCAGGCCTCAAAACCAACTTACACTCCCTAATTTAATGCTTAACCATTGAACTAAGGTTTTATCTTGGCCATTGGGTCATTACATACAAGATTAATCCCTAAGTAGAAAAAGGGACGTTTCCATTTTTGCCAAAATGTGCTTTATGTCAAAACTGAATCCCTTGAGCATTGGTCCATATCTCATGCAGAAAATCAAGTCCACAAATTGGAGGGGCCTAGAGGATTGTGTGCAGCATACAAGATGGCTTGTACAGGCCTGTAAAGAGGAGTTAGACATCTTTGCTTCATATACAAGAAATTTGTCAAAAACACTAGAACAAGAACATCAGATAGAACCAACTTGTGCAAGCTTTTGAGACAACTTTTACACATTACATTGAACCTAAAACACGAGCCTTTGAGTCCTGAAACCTCCCATAACTCAAAATCATCTTCCTTTGGCAAAACAGGGCACTCCCTGCAGATTGAGTTCCACAACACAATTTGCTCGTGCGTTTTGGCCCAAACCTGTTCAAACACCTTCCATTCCATCCACCTGAACTATCCCAGATCTCCATTGCAACCTATAACTCCTCTAACACACTTTGCCATTTTCATTTCAAAGCTTTGCAGGTGGAGTTCTACAGCACGATTCAGTTTGTTTCAAAGTAAGCCAAGCATTGGAGAAGCTTCCTTGGACTTCAGGCAAGCTCAACAGAAGCTCAAACACCATTGAAGGTTGCAACATTGCCCAGCTCGAAGTCAACTGAAACAGGTATTTCATGGACTTCTATCTCTCTATTTAGGAATGGTTAGGCTTAGGTTTGTGAATGAAATATGTTGTACTCATAGCCCTGAAGCCATACATATGCTTAGTTTTCATTTACATTAATCGTGCTGAGAGAATTTCATTCAAGAACTTTCTGAAAAAAACTAGGTTAAAAATTAGGGCCAGAGAAATTCTCTCTGGTCTTTGAGAGTTAATCCAAGTTTTTTATATGGTTGAATTCGTTATTTGATGCTCTACAATGTTTATGTTATGAGTTTTGTCAAAAAATCAAAGAATCAGGAGATGGCATTGTTAGAACAAAGTTTGAATCTACTACCCTACATTTAAGTTTTGATGATAACAAAGTGAAAAGATATATTATTTATGATATTCATATATGAACTATCTACTGCCTAAAAATATTATATTCTGACTTGCAGATACTTTGATTGATAAGCAAGATCACATCTAATCAGCATCAGAATTTGGTTCTTGACACCAGCATCAGAAGTTCCCATATCAGAATGTCAGAATCAGATGATCAACTCACGTACATGCTGAAGCCTGATGAACAAAACTGCGCTCAACACTCTGACAAAGAAACACAACAGTTCATCAGCAGCGAAGCAGAGTCAGAATGAGCCAAGCCAGAACTTGCATTAAGTAAGCAACGGTACTGTGCATTGAAAGCAAATTAATTCCAACGGCCTCATTCCAGACAAGATCTGCTCGATAAGGAAAGTTTGTTATTAGCATTGAATCAAGAATATTGCATCCAACGTTCATCATCTCAGTGCTATATAAACAAGACTTTGAAGATTGAAATGGCTAATGCTCTCACAATCTCTACACGCACAAAAGCTAATCATAATCTTCTTTCTCTCAGTTTTTCTAAACCACACATTCTGATATTCTATCATTGTTTAGCAATCTAGTTTCTAAGCTTCAATTTGTGTATACATCACAGTTGTGATACAGTTTTGTAGAAAACATTCACACACTTAGTTTTATCTCTTTGTAAGAAAGTGTTACCTTGACAAACCGGGTTGTGGTTTGGATCAAGAAGGCTTTAGCAGTTGTTAAAGCAGTCTGTAATATTCAGTTGAATATAGTGGATTAAGACCTCGTTGGAGAGAGGCGAAATCACCTTGACGGGTGGACTGGAGTAATTTGAGATCAAACAAACCAGGATAAAAATATCTTGTTCATTGCATTAGATTTCAGTTTTACAATTCAACCCCCCCTTCTTGTGTTTTTCACCACTTCAATTGGAATCAGAGCGCCTGGTTCTGAGCTAAAACACTTAACCGTGTCAGTACAAGATCCAGCGTCAGAAAAACACAATGGCAGGAAACAATTCTCACATCAGCAATGACAACAATGAGGACAGAGACAGATTCAGTGGCAAACCTCCAGTCTTTGATGGAAAAACTTTGATTACTGGAAAGACAGAATTGAAAGCTTCTTTCTGGCACATGATGCTGATCTGTGGGATATGGTGACAGATGGATACACGCACCCTGTGAATGCAAGTGGTCAGAAGATTGATAGAAAAACAATGTCTGATCAACAAAAGCGTGACTTCAAGAATCACCACAAGGCCAGAACCATCCTCCTCAGCGCCATCTCCTATACTGAGTATGAAAAGATCTCCAACAGAGACACAGCAAAGAATATTTTTGACTCACTCAGAATGA